GGCTGACCTTGAAGCCCATATTTGCTGCTTTTGATCATCGATACTACGCAAGCACACATCGTCGATGTTGCCAAATTGCAGTTTATTTTCGAATTATTTGCAGTTGAAAATTTTTTTTTGCGTGTTAACAAAGAATATTGGTATTAAGATATTCTTTGGTATTAATCAATAATAATACAAATTCTATAATTTCAGATTTATCTTGATATCCAAAATTAAGGTAAGAAGGATAATGAAGATTGTGAAATGAAAGTATTATAATATATAAAATTGTAATAATAATAACATTTATTTATATGTTTACATTAGAATTAAAATTTATCATTTACGGATTTTTTCTTAATGGTTTTAAACTTATTAGAATTATTTTATTTCTTTCAAGTTATTTAATTTCTAGTTATTTACAGGCAACAATATTTTTGATTATATGCATGTATTGATGTTTTGAAGTACTACCATGACGGGTCTTATTATAGAACAATAAACGTCAATCGGAGATAGAGGAACATTTTACCTATTATATAATGTTACTATGTAATATAATATACTTTGATTATAATTAATGTTTGTATCATAATTTCTTAAAAATATCAAGCATAGATATCAAGTTAGTGGATTTTATCGAAGAGTGTGTTGATAAGACTAAAATAAGCTTTATGTTTTATCTTTTTCTCTTTAGAAGGGAGATGGCTTGTATCGTAAAATACATTACAGTATTTAATATCGTATACTTTGTTATTCTTTTCTTAATTTACTGTAATTTCTTGTTTCCTATAATGCCAAATCTTGACAATATGGTGAAGGTTGAGTTTTGATCTTATTAGTTTTATAAGAATAATATAATAATAATAGAAATACAAGACTAAATTAAGACTTAGTTTGTGATTTATATTAAGATCTTTCTTATAATATTTGTTATGTCTTCATCTTAATACTATATTATGCTTGGTCTGGAATTTAAGTTGTTTAAATAATGTTAAAATATCTTAATTTTGCATATCCTATTCATCCTTCCATTAGGAAAAATATAGTTTATAAATCATATATGCTAAGAAAATCACATAAATTAGGTGTAAGAATAGAGAAATCTTAATGCAACAGAAAAATTAATGCAATATATGTAAAGCAGAATTAAACAAGGTAACTGTTAATGTTGCTGAAGCTGATTCTACAATTTTAATTACGGAGGCTAAAAGGCCTTTTAAGGCCTCCGTAGTTTTGATGGAATGTTAAAAAAATCTATTATGAACATGACATGGAGCTACAGCATTTAAAAATTAAAAAAAAAAAAAAATTTGGACACATCCCTTTTAATATCTCGAATTTTTAATAAAGCACTTTTTAAACGTAGCATAATAATCTAGATAGGAATCTAGAGTTTTATTTCTATATAATTTTATTGACTGAAAATACATAATAAGCGTTCACTTGTTGTGCGATATATTAAAATAATATACCGCGTACTATGATTGAAAAAAAAAAATAGCGTCAGCAATGACTATGAAATGAAGATAGCTGTCATTTTATGGAAATGTCCTCAATCGTCATTTCCCAGACAACTGGACGCCGTTTTTTCGATCATACGGTATATATTGACAAAAAAACACTGAAAAGCAGTTTTCTACTGAAAATAATTCCAAAATAACTCACAATCTGGCAACATCGAAGATGTGTGCATGCGTAATGTCTGTGACTATAAGCAGCAAAAACTCGTTTCAAGGTCAGCTACCGGATCCACACCATTACCTAAATAAATTATTTTGTTTTATTGATACTTTCCTATTAATTTTGAAAAATAGCAGTAGCGGTCTTATCTCCTCTTTGGTAGCGGTAAAATACCATTGAAATTTTATCCCTAAAATTATCCCCAAAAAATTTTACTCCCTAAAAATATCCCCATATAGATTTTTTCTCCCCAAATTTAGGGATAAAATCCCGGAGTTGGTAACACTGCGGGAGAACATGGGGAGAACCATAAACTCTCGAAAGCCCAAGCAATGCCCTCTATGATCAGCCTGCGCGGGCGGACTTTTTTACTCTATCAGCTGTAATGTACTATAGATATTGGGTTAGTTCTGTATTCATATTTTGTCGGTTGATTTTTGGTATTATTTGTTATTGTAGTGCAAAAAACTAATTATTTTGGTGTTTAAGTGACATAAAGTACTACCAGATATATGGTCACTATGATGGTCACTCTGTTTCTCATGAAAAAACACGAAATATTACACGTTTTGTTAAGTGCTTTAACCTAAAAGTGCCCATAAATTTTTTATTTATCGTGACTTTTGTGTGTGTTTTTTAAGACTCTAACAATTCATCAATAAAGCTTAAGTGTGTTTATGGTGCTATGCCTCATCTTTGTTGTGTTCCTGATGGAAAGAATAGTTATACTAGGCAGCTTAAAGTATCCGGAAGAGCAAGAAAAGTGGGTACGAGTTATAAATCAAGACAATTCTATTGAAAATATCTTTAATAAATTTAAAAATAATATTCTTCCAGGATGGTATTAAAGAAAACTGGACAATTATGTTTATTTTATTCATATTGTGGAATCTCCACTCCAAGTGTTGTTGGTTCAGCATCGATAGATTCAAACACGTAAGATAAACACGTAAGTAGGTATTATGATCTAGGGAAAAATAAAGAATATGTGTATTAAAGATCACGAAAAAGATTATTATTTTGAGTTCAAAATTAAAAAAGATTTTTGTAAAGACAAGAATGATAAAGTTTAAAAGAAGAATGTGTTTTTGTTTCATAATATAATGTATGTAAAGCATAACATATACCTATTTGTTCAGTAATTTTTACTGAATAGTGTCGATTATTTATAATACCAAATTAATATCAAATATTTAAGTGATGGCTAAATACAATATGAATAAAATAACAATAAAATTGGTATGTTTGCAATACAAAATTAAGTTTTAAGAATAAAGGTGTTACTAAAAACACTAAGAAATTCATATTTCTTTGTTTTAATTGGTCGAATGTTATTTACACTTTATTTAAGAATTATACCGTATCATCGAAAAAAAATCGGCATCTAGTTGGCTTGAAATGAACATCGATGACATTCCCTAAATAATTGTACACATAAAAAAATTAACTAGAATTTTACAATCTTGGAAAATTTGATATTCTTGAACCTTTGTTTCTAAATATTCATTATTTTTATTTGTTTTGAAAAAACGTTTCGGCTAACATTATAGCCTTCATCAGTGCTGTGTCATATGAAAAAATAGTATCGAATATAATCCAAAAATTACATATAAAAATATTCACACCACGCACCACATAATGTTTACTGCGTGCACCCATAGTCTCCATAGTCAATGTAGATAGTTTCCACTGTTAAGAATAATAATTCTAAAAAATATGTGGTCATCTTTTGATAAGTTTATATTAGTTTATTAATTGCAGTATACATTATGTGGTGTGAATATTTCATATGTAATTTTTGGATTATATTCGACACTATTTTTCTTCATATGACAATAACACTGATGAAGGCTATGTTAGCCAATAAACGTTTTTTTTAAACCAAATATAAATAATGAAACCCAAATGAAAACTTAAATCAGCGTTTTTCCCCCGAACCTAAAAAATCCCAAGAAAATCAAAAATTTTAGAATAATTTATATAAAATGCCAGCGATCTTCATTTCATAGCTATCGCTGACGCCTTTTTAGATGATATTGTATTATTTGTAAATATAATTTTTCGAACATTGATACTTGCAAAATATACATATAAATTTTGTGAATGCAAATAATAATACATCACTATTAGTAGATATTGAAATGTTTTTGTTAAATTAGATCGATTTCTCAAACCCCAAAATTTAAAATATATTTACATTTTACCCAATATCTTATGTAATACATTATTTGTATATTGTAAAAAACATTTGGTTGCATTTGTATGGTTCATAGTTTGTTTGCCAAAGTATTTATTACTATAAATAGGTATATATGTTGTAGTTATTAACTGTATATTATGTATATTTCATGTGAACTATATAATTTTTAAAATACAAACCAAAAATCTGAGGAATAATTATGTTTTCCATGTATTCTACAACATATTTATTAATCCGTAGTATCTAACTAGCGTGACGTCATAAATCTCGCAAGGCTGTTCTATTAGAGACGACATTGATCAAAAGAACCAATCAGATTTGTAGAAAATTCAAACAGCTGTCAATTTTAAATTTAGTACAGCTCCCATTGGTTGTTTGAAATGTCAAACTGTGTAGCCAGCGACACGACGCAGTTCTGAGAACGGGACTTTAGGCACTGCCGTTCTTTAATAAGGCCCGTATTTATAGTTGCGTCTCGAGACGCCAAGACGGTCTTGGGCTCTTGAGAGCGGAATCCACAGAATACACGAGCAAACGTCATTTTGGAGATTGCGATTTTCATTTTGGAGATTGTCATTCAGTGTTACCAACTCCGGGATTTTATCCCTAAATTTGGGGAGAAAAAATCTATATGGGGATATTTTTAGGGAGTAAAATTTTTTGGGGATATTTTTAGGGATAAAATTTCAATGGTATTTTACCGCTACCAAAGAGGAGATAAGACCGCTACTGCTATTTTTCAAAATTAATAGGAAAGTATCAATAAAACAAAATAATTTATTTATTTTAATCACCGAATCTTGGATAACAGTTGTGGGGATTTTAACTGTTTGGATTTAAGAAGGTTTGATATTGCTTTAATGGAAAGTTTTGAACAGATGACTACACATTATTTTGTAGAAATCTGATTGGCTCTAACTGGCGAACAAGTCATACGTCTTGCTTAAAAATAAATTGCATCTATTTAAATTTGCCGCCACATTTGTTACTTTCCTGGGTGGCTAGATGGCGCCACTTCAATATACAGATTACAGATTTCTTTACAAATTTGAAACCTTTTTGAAACTAAAAAATGCATGGGAGTTAGCGTTCTTCTTTAGTGTGTTCTGTGGAGGACAATAAATACAGCATTTGTTGTTGGTGCAGGTCTTGACAACTTTGTGTTTGTGTCGTGTTATTATTAAATTATTTATTAGTTATATAAAAAATATAAATGATATCTACGAGACTTGTCTGAGATCTTCACAGAACTAGTTAAGTTTAGTAGGTGATAATTGTTTTGAGTCGTGTCCATTATAATTTTAAATACCTACAATTCCACGTGCTGGAGATAGCTAAACTGAACCCGGTTTATTTTTTCCCTTTGAGTTATTGATATTTTTTATTAGAAACTATGGATAATATAGATGAAGTAGATTTAAAACCGTAAGTATTATTCTTATGTAGATGTTTTGATTAATGCATCAGTGTCTTTTGTCGATTATACAACTCGTATGTATATTTTTCCTATATAGAAGGATGTGATTTAAGCATCAACTTAAAATAGAATATAGACTGAGCATCTCATTCATAAATGGCTGGAAAATGCGGTCACACAATGTCTTGTTATTGTTGTGTTATTGTTTTAGGTTGTAACGAGTGCGACACGAGCGATAGATAGTAGAGATGAGCAAAACTGCGATTTTTCAATCGCTGTTGAAAATGTGATTGTGATTTATAAATCGCTGCGACTGAAACCTGCGATTGCGATTTTGATATTTTTAAATTGGTACGCTGTAAACTGGGAAGCTCAATCCCAAAATTTTCAATAAAAAAACAGAAGAAATAGCGGAATCATTTTTTTTAATAAAAACATACAAAGGAACTGTTGGGAGTTTCGATGCCATGTGCCTTTTAAAATTTGTAGGTAGTGCTCGTTTTTTATGATATTTTTGCTGCACACATATTGCACTTAAAATTTTCATCATTTACCAAAAAAAATCCACAAATAACTTAGTTTCCTATTTTTAAACATTTTTGATTAGAACAGAACGAATGAATTTAAAAGGGAAATTAAAAATACATAAAATGTTCAAAATATTCGAATGTGCTTTTAGACAGTCTGTAGGTATACTAACTAAAATTTTATGATAAAAAAGGTTGCCGCCAACCTTACAGATAACTAGAAAAAAAACTGTTTATCTTTTTTTCTTTTAAAAACATTTTCTTTATATTAACTCAAAAGAAGCCGACGCCGACGGCTTTGATAGGGCCAGTCCAGTGCAAGTGCAAACTTTCGAACTTTTAGATAAAATGACAATATCACAATTTATTTTAATTTATTATTATTTGAAATTTCTTTAAAATGCAAAAACTGATTATAAAGGATGTATTTAAATTAACATAGCAGCCGATCCACAACTGTTAGTTAATATTCAGAAAATAAATAAATAAAAAGGGCTGAAAAAAGTATCCATATTAATAGAGTTTCTTTTCCGTACTCTATGTCTTCTAGTAAATAAAGGATAAAAATAGATAATTTTTTATAATTTGAATCCAAAACTGTCCTTATGAATCATTTGTAAACAATCTAAATATACATGTTCAATAATTTTTAATTTCAATGAATTTCGATAGCTACATATGAGTAAAAAAACATGGCAAGTTAATTTTGAGGTTTTTGTGGAGATGTTTTTAAAAACATTTATTAAACAAGCGGGAGTACAATACGCGTTGATGGATTCTGAAGGAACCCTGTGCCTGCGTCGTGCAGCGGCTTAAATATGAACATAAGTGCTGATGAATATAAAGTATAAGATTTCTACAGGGTGTGTTAATTATACAATTATAACTCCTCCCTTCGTAGAGGTGGAAATACACCTGGATTTCCTAATTATTATTTTTAAGTTTATATAATTAAAAATCAATAATAATGTAATAAAATAATTAATCAATTAAATGTTAATAGATAATTGAATATAATGTAAAATAAAATGAATAAATGTAAAATATAAAATAGCAAAATGTGATTAAAATAAGCACTTATATTATTATATCGTCATTATCGTTCTTAACAACAATGCGTGTTTTATTTTTAAAGTATTTATAAGTAAATAATAAAGAAAGCAAAATCAATAAAATGTAGATTAATATTGTCCAAATACTAAGTCTTTTTACTGAAATATTATTTAACGAACTGAGAGAAAGTCTTTGTTCTTCTAGTTCTTTCTTGATATCTTGATTATTTTTCATGTTGATCACGTTGAGGTTCCATACAGGTGGGTTAAAGATGATGTCTTCTTCGGCAAAGGACATGTTGGTCTTTAACTTTGGCAGTAGAATTTCTTCGAACAGTGTGTTGCTGCTTCGATGTGTCTTCAAGATGAATTTTTCTAAGTGTATCTCGCAGAATGGGGTTGCTTCAATCAGATATGTACCATATAGGGGTACATTTTCTTTTTCGTTGTTGCACTTAAGTGTTGCCAGTGTTTTGTGAGGAGTGGTGATGATCCATCGTCCATCAGAGATTCGCTCAATTTGAATACTTTTTATCGGAATACGGAACGGATGACAATTATTCGTGTCTTGCTCAAAATTAATAAGTTTTACTTCACATGGCTCATTTCCTTTAAGTCTCAGGGGATGAGTCTTCTTACAGAGGTATTCTTGTAATATTATTTCTTGACATTCTTCGTCCATATATGCATACTTCGTATCACTTAATGCGAGGTAAGGTTTGAAAGGAATTATCAATGAAAAATCGGAATTGTTTGTTGGAATTGGTAGAGGTAACAACTTATAATAGTAATACAAGTCTGGTTCTACTAAAGGAATTTCCATAATAAATGTTATTGTATAGTCTTTTGAGTAACTTTTTATCTCTATAATTTTTTCAAAGTTTAGAATATTTTCTATCTTTATTTCCAAAGGGAAAATATCTTGGTTTATTTTGTTTTTATAATTTTCTATTTCTTTTAATAACTCTATCGGATTTACAATTGAGTTGTGTAAAACATTTATTTTTGCAAAGGATATAGCTACCTCTATTTTCTCAAAAATATCATATATATTTTGGAAAATTGAATACATTTCATTTATAATAATCATATTTTGAAAATATCTTTTTTCTTCATTATCTTTATTTAATATCCTTTTTAATTGATCTTCTAGATATATAACTTTTGTTCTAATATTATCTTGATTTCTGGATATATTTGATATAAGTTCATTGAAATTCTCTATCGATTTTTGCATTAATGTGATTTGTTTTATTGATATATTTTTTAATTTATTTTGGTTTAATTGTAACTCTGTTATAAGTTTTTCGTATCGTTCCGCATCTGTAGAATCTAAGTTCCCAGTTATGCATTTTATAACTGTTCCTAAAGGATTTAATATTCCTCTTTTATTTCTTTTATTATTAGGATACAATTGATATATTTGTAATTCGATTTTATTCTCTATATTTATTAGTTGTTGTTTGGCAACGTCATATTCAACTAATTTTAATGTTTCTATAAATTTATTATTAAATGATTTTAGTCTATAAAATTCGGTTACTAGTGTTCCTAAATTGTACACTTGTATGATCGATAATTGATCTGATTGAATTTTTGCTTTTCCCAATTTAAATGGTAGTATACCAGGGTAGTTATTTAAGTTTACTATATTTGTGTTTTTTCCTTCGATGACGAACAAGAAGGCTGCGATACATCTGAAATATTTTTAGTTATTTTAGTTTCATTTTTATGTATTATTTCAGTTTTATTATTTTTTGTATTTAAAATTTCTAGTTTGCCGTTTTCTAGTATTTTAGAGACCGTGTAAGGACCTAAAAATTTATTCTTTATTTTTGCATCTCTGTTATCATTCTTTTTGTAGATAGTTGTTCCTATTTTGACTTCATTAGTCTTTTTATCTTTGTTATGATAATCTATCTGTTTTTGTTTTTTATTTAAAGTAGTTTCTTTAATTTTATCATAAAGAGTTTGTGTATTAGTTTTATGTGTATAAATATAATCAGAATAGACTTGTGTTGGTATAATTAACATAGGATCTCTAGAGTCGGTATGACCTAGGGTTAATTCAAAAGGAGTAAAATTTGTTTGAGAATGTATTGTACTATTATAGGCAATAATAGCATATCTCATGAGTGTATTTATATCTGAATTTTTATCTTGTTCTTTTAGTAGTCTTATATGTTCTAGTAATGTAGAATGCAATCTTTCTATAGGTGCATTGGATTCATGATGATACGGTGTAGTAAAGTGTATATTTATTTTATGTACTTTTAATAGATCTTTTAATGTTTCATTTTTAAATTCTGTCCCGTTATCGGCGACTATTTGTTTTGGTATACCCATAAATGAAAAGAAATTTAATAATTGTTCACAAGCTGAAATAGCTGTTCCTAGATAAGGTAAAGATTGTGCATATTTTGAAAATTTGTCTATTATAGTTAGATATTTTTGATTAGATATTTTAAATGTATCTATATGTATTATTTCGAATGGTTTCGAAGGTGTATTAGTTAAAATTAAAGGTTCATTCGGTGGTTTTCTATTATACTTAGCTCTATGACAGATTTCACAATCATTGATATAATTAGTTATATCAGTTTTCATTTGTTTCCAATAATAATTAGTTTTAATACGTTTTGTAGTCTCTTCTATTCCACGGTGATTAGTTTTTCCTTCGTGTGAATATTGAATAATTCTTTTCCTTTCGTCAGGTTCAACATTATTGACTAATTTTGAACATTCAATTAAATTAAAATGATTGAAATGATCGGTCATTGCTTTATGAAATATTGGTCTTAATTCTTTAGAAAAGAAATATATATAAGTATTTTTATTTTTTAAATAGGTTTTAAGAAAATTGACAATAATATTTAAATCGTTAGGTAAGGTTGCATGAATGATTCTATGATCATCAAACTTTTGATATTCCGTCTTTTGATAAGGGATATAAGGAGATTTTTTTATTAAAAATTGATCAGTTTTATTATTTATTATTTCATCTAAAAGTTTCATATTAGTTTGTGTCTCATTTTCATTGGCACTATGAATTGTATTGATTGATTTCTTTTCGATAACTTTTTTATTTGGAGGTCTTAGTTGAATGTCTTGTAATATTATAATTTTAGGTTTAGGATTCTCAATATTTTCAATTTTAGGTTTAGGTTTTTCAGTGTTTTCAATTTTATGTTTAGGTATAAGTGTTTCAATATCCTCGAGAGTGTCAAAAATGTCAAAATCACATAAATCTTGTGGATTAAAGTCTCTTTCTAAAAATTGATCTATGTCTTCGGTTATATCACCTGGATTATTTAAAATTGACTCTGTTTCAATAGCATTTAATTGGATTCGGGATAATGCATCCGCGTTAGTATTTTGTTTTCCGCTTTTATAAATTATAGTGTAATCATATTCTTCTAATTTGAGTCT